GGTCCTAGGTGACATTAGGGGTCTTGGAGACCCCCTGATGTCTCCATAAAGAGGACCTGTCACCTCTTTTGCTATCACATAAGGGGGTTTCTCAGCCCCCTCTGTGATAGCAATAAAGTTAAGTGAAAAAAAAAAAAATAGTACAAAAATTTAAAGTTTCCCCCCCAATTTTTTTAAAGTTACACAAAAAAGAATTAAAAAAAAATTTTTTTTTTTAAAAGTCCCCACACCTACATACACACATTTAAACATGCGTCAGGTGCGCATACCTGCGAAAACGACGATTGCACCCATTACGCCGCACATGTTACATATCGCCGCGAACGTCGCAGTGAGAGCAATCATTTTAGGGCCATCAATCACTGATAACACTAAACTGATGAGCGGTAAAAGCTTTTAAAGCGTCGCCTATGGCCAATTTTGGGTATGCTAGTTTTTTGCGATTTTGCGAGTGCGCGCAATTTTTACGCTTGACATGTTTGGTGTCTATTTACCCGACGTGACCCCATCTTTTATATTTTACCAAAAAAGTGGGTAATATTAGTTGTTTTATAGCATAATGTAAAAAAAAACTTTTTTTTCTCAAAATTTTCAGTAATTTCTCCTGAATATAGTAAAAAATAAAACCCGCAGTGGTGATTAAATACCACCAAAATAAAGCTCTATCTGTCCCCAAAAAATGGTATAAAATTAATTTCAGTACAGCGTTGCGTGACGGAATAAATGTCAGTCAAAGTACCGCAGCGCTGAACATTGAAAAATGGCCTGGCCAGGTAGGGGATCTAAACACCTGGTCTTCAAGCAGTTAAAATATAAATGAACTGGTTTTTGGTATCGCAAGACACAAATCTGTGCATCTAGAAAGCACACTAACTACATATTTAAAAAATAAACTGTTACAACTTTTTGCTAACATTTGTTGTTTGAAGAAATGTGATTCAATAATGAACTGTAATTGCCTATAGATTGATTACCTGTACTGTCGGAATGGGTAAATATGTGAAGGAGAAGCTTGCATTGTTGCAAAGATGCAAATATGCTGCTATGTTGTTTCATTAATTGGGTACAAAGACCTTCTAATGTTCATGCATCATGGTGTATGCTAATTTTAAGAGCTACCGGCATTCAAAAAATGTCAGTATACAATTAAAAGCTCGTTTACACTTTGTACATTTTTATTGAATAAGGAGGCAAGCAGTTTGTTTTACAATGTGTGCTGCATTCGGTAAACATCAGCAAAGAGCCAGATCATAAAAGCCAGAACAGAAAAGCACAAATAAAGATGAATATGTGCCAGGGGAAACAGGATGGCAAGATTCTAGTTATCCATTTGTCATTACCATCTGATGTAAACAGATTGTAAATCCCTGTCATCATATGTGCAGTTCTGGACTATAGATGAGCAATCAGAAATGAAATGATGGAAGGTCTGTTACATTTTCTTCCGGTATTTAGAGCTAGCTGTTGAATGCCAATAGTAATCATAATAAACTGGAAGAATTTGAGCTGTTTATATTAGGGATGCACCGAATTTTGGGCTGAAAATACCACTTTTGGCAAAATGCCGAAAGTGCCATCTTTCGCCTGAAATTGCAGTGCATGCGTGATTTCTCTCCTCCCGTTGGGTGCTGCTCTGTATCCCCTCTGACACAGCACAGCATTCAGCAGGGAGGAAAGAAACTGTCAGAGGAGGCTGAGCGGGGCGAGGAGGAGAGTGCTGTCATTGTTCATGTCACAGGGGGCTAAGCTCTCCTCCCACACCAAACCACTCAGCTTCCTGTAACCAATCAGGATGGAGAGTGGTGTGGGGGCGGAGTCATCGGTCACATGAGGCATCGGTGAGGGGGAGGAGTCAACTGTCAAATGAGACTGAGCTCTCCTCCCCGCAGTGGTGATGGGTCCTAGTTAGGGAGAGAGATTCTGTTTATCCGGTGACCTATGTCACAGGACTGAAAAGGAGAGAAAACCCAACATTTTGAATTGCCACCAGGAATGGAGGGAAACTCGTCCAATGGGTGCACTTGTTCTGATGTCATCTGTCTAAGAGGGCACATTTCCCTTACTTTAGGCCCCGTTCACGCCGGGGCGGTTTGGCCACACTGATCCGCTGACATAAACGATCACATACATTGCTATGGGGACCATTCATGCGATCGGAACCACCCCCCACCCGAACTGCTCCCTGGCCATTTTTTGCTGCGCTGATCAGTGCGGTTTTCCATACAGCTTTCAATGGAATCGCGCTGATCAGCGTGGTTTTGGGTGTTTTTAATTGCGTTTCAGTGCTGAAATGCAATTAAAAACTCCCAAAACCTCCCTTTTAAAATCATTGCTGAAAACGCGCTGATCCTCAGCCGCCCTGGTGTGAATGGGCTATCAGAGAGTTTTCCTCTCACTTCTTTTTGTGTCTACAAAACAGTAAGTAAAGGAAAATCCCTCAGTGGGATAAGATGGCAAAAAAAACTGTATTTTGTACTTTAGTCTGTCCATAGTGAAACAGTTTTTGCTTTACATACACTGATTTCTTCCCACCTAGAGCCATTTTGATGTATGAAAAACATTTTTTAGAAGAATGTGGAAGGGTTTAGAGTCATCGTTGTCTTTTCCATTCTGTCCTAGTAAAATCTTGTTCTTCTTGGTCCTGGTGTTAAAGGGATAAAGTAAGTGGAAAGCTGCACACTAGAGTAAAAGATAGCAATAAAACAGGTTGAAAAAGCTAATATTTGCCACTCTACCCAAAACTGAAAAAAATGTTTCCTGGGGAGTTGGCTGATTCAGACCCCACTGGTATTCTGAGCTATCTGATCAAGTGCTGCTATTTACCCCAACACCAAGGTGCAGCCAGTCCACAAGTAATTCTTATGACTCAGTAAAATCTTTATCTTCTTCTGGAAGCTTTGAATTGATGGGAAATGTACTTTAAACGGATGACTTTGGGCTGTTAAAATCCACGTAGCCTCACAATTGCACATGGCTGAAACAGTTCCAAAGTTGTCCTGTGTTTTGATATGAAAACCTAACTACCATGACCTGCACAGTAAAGCCATGCTCCTCAAATTGTTACCAGGGACAGCTCTGTATTCAGTAACCCAATTAACTTTTGAGGTAGCCATTACACTAGACGTCAAGTTCCTACTAAACCTGTTGGCAATGCTATAAAGTCCTGAAGCCGAAAACTGATGACTGCTTATTGCTGAACATTTTGTACATTTTATATCATTTTAAGAATACATTTGAAATGGTTTGAATAACTTAAATACATCTACACACCTTCCTGTCTTGAAATGCTAGCTTACTTGCAAACCTGGTCATATTTGATATAGTTATAATTTTATTGTAGTAAATAAGAGACAAGATAACAGAATGTTCTTCAGAAAACTGTCTGCTACCTTGTATGCGTCACTCTATTTTTCAGTAGATTTTTAAATGATTCCTTACATTAGTCTTGGTGTACAGGTTTCCCAGCAGAATTACGCAATATTCACTTTACTTCCCATCAATACATGTGTAGTGTACTGCAGCATTACATCACATTATAGATTGCTCTACGTATGTCAGAGTACCTGTGTTGGACACATACTTTTTTTTTAATCAAGAGCTATTTTGTCTAAAGTTTACCTTGTGAGAGATCACACTTCAAGCCAGCACCTTTTTGCTGTTTATGGTGGATATTGAAGACGGTAAGGCTTCCTCATGAAGTGGCTGGTCTTGATGCTTGACCTGATGATGCAAAATAAAAGATCTCACCACTGCCACCATTGTAGTGCTTCTACTCTAAAGTCAATGTTTAGATCTTGGAGACATTTCCAAATGCTTGGCACTGTTCATCTTAATTTGATTTGCAATGACCCCAAGGAAACTGAGAATATATAATATTTAAGTCTCTTGAATCTGGTTGGTGCTCTTGTTTTGTGTTCCTATCGGTCTATACATTGCATTATTTCTGCTCTTAATATATTTTTAATGTACTAATCTCTGTAAACACTAGACCTGAAATTAAATCAGCTGCAATTTCATATATTACAGATCCCAGCACTAGTATCCAGGGCATGTGAAGAACTGCAGACTGAAATACAAATTCTGGAGAAGAAGCTACAGCAAACTCAAGCAAGACTTCTAGAGAAAAATCAAGCAAAGGGCACTGAAGTTGCCAATTTAAAAAAAAGAATTTCTGAGTTGGAGGTTCGTCTAAACAGAGACTATGAACACAATACCTCTTCCCTAGAAGAAATGAGAAAAGACATTCACACAAAGGCTGAGCAACTAAATGAAATGAACATGAGCTGTGCACAGCTAAGACATCAACTAGACCAAGTCACGCAGGAGGTAAGAAGCCACAATACAAAACCAATATATTCTTCCGGTCACTACTGCAATTTCATTTATAATTAAAAAAAAGTGCAAATAATAAAACATAATTGGGAAATGGGAATAAAAAGTGCCTGAGACAAGTTTTATCTCAACTGGTGTGGTTGCCCATAGCAATGAAAATTAAAAAGCTGTGGTGGGCTGTGCTGTGTGGGGTCTCACCAGGGGTCCGCATAGTCTTGTGAGTGGGTACGGGTGGTAGGGTCCCACAGGAAGGAGGAGGAGAAGATGTGCGGCCGACACTGTAAACAGGAGCTGCAAGGTTCCCAGCAAGCACAGTACCTCGGGCAGTCGCTTCAGTTTAAAAATATAAAGAGACGGTATCTGCGCTTTGTATCAGGGCATTTTCACGAGTACTTGTGAAAATGCTCAGTATTGGTGCATCCCTACTATTCATTAATACCCCCAAATATGCATTTACAATTAGGGTAAAATATTTGACAGCACTATGATTGCCAGTTGAGTTAAAATTACTAGAAATTACACATCCCATCGCAGTTAAAACTGACAGACTGAAGACCAGATTGGACACAGCAAGCCTCTTTTTTTATGGCCATCTACTTGTATGACTCAAACAGACAGGAAGCAATGAAATAGCTCCACTGCAACACAGACAGAAATGTCTATTTTTTAGTAGAGTAAGAGTAGTCTAGAAGCCCTGTCAGCTTTTTGTTGTTGTCTGTCTCCCTGTTACAGATTTTTCTTCACTTCCTATTTGATAAAACCAATAACACCATGACAAGAAGTCAGAGGAAATCATTATAACAAAGCCTGGAAAGCAGTAAATACCAAAAAGTAGTTCTAACCCGTTCCCTTTGCTATCCAAACCAAACAAGCAAAAGATAATTGCTGGACTTTCACTGAAAATCAGCGAACTCCAAAATATTGAACTGCCGCCAGAACAGGAATAGAATGGAAATCCTCCATAAAGCACACTTCCTGTTCCTGTTGCAACTGTCTTAAGAGGGTATTTCCCTCAAATTGGAAAGATATCCTCTCTGTTAGGGTCCCTCAGGAAAGTGACACTGAAAGCACTCGAACCCCCCAGTAGTGGGCCTCAAACCCACGCCTCCTGGTAGGACTTATCTCGTTACGATTTTCGGGAATTCGATCGTGCTGCCAGCTTCAGACAAGTACTGGGGAAGAAAGAGTCACACTGAATTGTGTATTCACTCTATATTCAAAGGTTTTTTGTTAAAACAAAAGTTTATATTTGAAACTAAAAGGGGGATGGCGGAGTATAAACCAATTAAATTCATGCCCGTATACAAAAAGACAAAACTAATTATGATAGTAAGGATCATGAGACAACCTTGGGGGGGGGTTGCAAAGTAAACAATCAAAAGACATCAGATTTCACCTTTCAGTAAGTGAGTTGCTGCAATAACTACGTTATCACTGGTTTTTGTGCTACTTAGACAGGAGCACATAGATGAGTCACAGCATCAGTCAGGAGTTTATATAATTTGATCAAAATGTGAAAAAAATAATGTATGGTACCTAAAATAAAATACACTTTGAAATAATGGAAATCAAAGGTATTCAGTGAAAATCAATGAAGTATGGTCTCCATTCATGGCCATTCATTATTTTTTTCCTGTTAGGAGCTGAACTCAAAATGGTTGATGGCTCTCTGAGGAATGTCATTACAAGCTTGTATCACTAAGACAGTCAGTTCTTCAATATTTGTGTTCCAGTGTTCAGTTGCACTAATAGCCCTGACAATCATGTCCTACATGTTCAGGACAAATCAGGTGACCTGACTGGGTCAGTACATTGACTCTGGACTGTGTGCTTGTCTATCAATGGATGTGCTTTAACCATTTCCCTGCCAGGCTCTGCTTTCTTCCTTTAACCTTAGGAGACCATTTTTGCATTTTTTTTTAACATTTGTTTTTCATTTTTCAACCACAGCTTTCAGAGTTTGTAGAAGCTAAATTTAAAAGTAAAAAAATCAATTACACATCTAAATGATGTGATGCTAGAATATTGTGCCACTGATTCTGTGTGAAAATCATACTGTTTCCTAACACCACATACTGTACATTTAAGAGGCATCTCCCATGTATGTAATTTAGAGAACTGGTATTTTTTGCATGTCATCCCTGAAGACCCGTTAAAAGAACACTCTATTTTTTATTTAAATAGCTTTGTTTAAGCTAAACCTTGGGCACAAACATTATCAATTAAATAAACTCCTAAATAACCATTTACCCTGTAAAATTGCCAGTGACATCACTGTGCTGCACGTAGCCTGTGCAGAAAGCAGAGCTGAGGCCCACGCACTACGACTGCCTGTAGAAAACTATGCGAAGGGGGTTGTAATCGAAGACTAGTCACCCTTCACAAAGACAGAGAGCAGCAGTGACTGGTCTTTATTACAGGAAGCTTCTGCACATAGGCAAAGTTCCACACTGGATTACTGCACAGCTCTGGAAGAAATACACAAAGCACACTAAGATTCAAGTAAGAATGCACATGCCTCTAGTCTTTGGACAATATTTGCTATCCCTGGAGTTTAGCTTTGAATATCCCCCATGGCAGTGCCCAGCTCCCTATGCCTATTTTGGACAATAGCTTGCCTTTTAGCCTTGAAAATGGTCAGAATTTAGTATGAAGATTCCCTTCCCCCATAGTCTTCAATAAAGTTTGCTGCTTAATTCAGCTTTTATGGATTTTAAAGCACGATTTAATGAACTCCCTGCTTATAAGACCCAAGCAGATTTACTCATTTCTACTTTGCAAGTGCCAGTTGAGTAAATATTTTAAAAATTATCCTTTTAATATTTGCATGTATTCATATTTCCATTTACGAACATGCATACATGCTAAATACATGTATACCGTGTTTCCCCGAAAGTAAGACCTACCCCGAAAATAAGACCTAGCACTATCTTCAGGGATTTCTGTAATATAAGACCTACCCCGAAAATAAGACCTAGTTCGGTGGTAGGTCTTATATTACAGAAATCCGCTAGGTCTTACTTTCGGGGTAGCTGCACATAAACTGTGTAAAAACCGGCCGCAGCTCCCGCCCCGCCCACCGGCCGCAGCTCACGCCCGCACGCAGCTCCTGCCCCGCCCACACGCCAGCCGCAGCTCCCTCCCGCACGCACACACGCACAATGGAAGCGACATCCGCCGGGACCGGCAACAGCACGCCGCCTTCCGGGACCTCGTCCACTCCTCCCCCAGCCAGGTAAGACATCCCCCGAAAATAAGACCTAGTGTCTTATTTCGTGCAAAAAAAAAAAATAAGACACTGTCTTATTTTCGGGGAAACACGGTAAAAAGCCTGTGCGTTTTGAAATAAAATGTATAATCTCCTCATTTCAGAATGCATTCCTCAAAGAAACCGTGCGCATGGAGTGTGAAGAACGCTATGAGCTTACTGAGGCCTTGACCCAGGCCAAGGAACAGCTGTTTGAACTAAAAAGAGGTCATGGAAACCTCCCAGTGTCACAAAGATCGTTTACTCCAGAGAAAGCAGTGCCCCCTCACATAATGACTAGTCCACATCTGAAGCGTCCTCTGAGCTTATCAACAGGTAATGGAACCACACTAGTGAGCTTGTCTGGGTCCACTATATCAACTATGAATAAACCCAAGCACCCGAGCACCTTACCTATACTGCAATCCCCGCATCCACCAAAAGAGAGAGCATCTTCACTAACCGAAGCAAGACAAAAAATCACGGCAGTCCTCCGGAGAAATACTTCTCAGCTATGAAACAGGCAGTTACAATGATAAAAATGCATTTAGCCACAGAACATGATGCACTGGATTTACCTTAGGTGGAATAGCTATAAAACAAGTGTTTTCCCAGAAGTCTTTTAGAATGTGTGAACTACATAGAGCTATATCAACAGGATGGCATACACAGAAGATTTTATACAACAATCAGTTTGGGAGTTGGCCATTCTCTGTCACAAGTAGGATATCATACAGGCATGGGGAGAAAACTTTGGCTGCTACAAGGTTGGGTCTTTAGCAGGAACCTACTTTTGTTTAAAGATTTAAAACTTCTTTAAACCTGCAAAGTGATTCTCCAAAAAAGTCATAGATAACTATAAATGACAGCATAGAATGGTACACGCAGGCTTCCAGTAACTATCCATATAACTCCTACATGTAGGGTTTCAATGTTTTTTTTGTTTTGTTTTTTTAAATGGTTCCGGATATATCAAGGGTGCAGTGCAAACTCATCTTCTTTTTCTTTCTAGCAGCTAAGATATCAATTGCCCGATCTTGGAAAGCTGAAAGGGTACCTTTCTCTATAGTACTATCTAAGTTAAACTGGATCTTGATCCATGAGAAACTACACAGTATCTTGCAAGACAGATACGCGAACTTTGAAGCTGTATGGAGCCATGATAGACCTATCAAGGGATTTTAAACCCTTCTGGCATATCCCTTACTCCTACAGGTCAAGCATTGTATGAGACACTTAGATCCGAGGGAGTCTACAATTTTCTCTACTTTTTTTTTTTCTTTTCTTCTTTACCCTTTCCTTTTTTTACTTAATTAAATTGTTTTCCTATTTTATGCTAAATCAACATGTGAAGACTAAGTGAGAATCTTCAGCACTTTGTATAACTAGAGGAAATGGAATAGAATTGCCAGCCCCCAGATATAAAGTAGATCGTTATTATGGCATAATAATACACACCACAGTATAAAACTAATGGGACTACTGAAGGGGGTATAGTGTTGATATTGAAGTCTATTGGATGACTTGTTATGCTACACATGTTGTCTGTTTGTAACAAAATGTTTACCTATAAAAACGGAAAACCAATAAAAAACATTTGAACCCTACATGCCATATAAATAAGTAATGTAATGTGGAGATAACTTTATGAAACTGTTCTACAGTGGTGAAGTGTATATCTACTTAATTAGCATACTATCAAACAAACTGTTAGCTCTATTGACTGTTATCAGTGGAAGGACTAATCTCACCATCTACTGACAAAAAGCTATGCTAACCTGTTATGCAAGTAGCAGGAGATTTGTACAGTGTACACACAGTGTATTTGGTATTAGGAGATAAAGGGAGGTTTTATGGGTGCCACATCCCATACTAGAGCATGTTAAAACCAAAATATCAAGGACGGACTTTTTAGGTACCAACACGACCAATTGTATATATAAAAACATTTTTATTGAATAATCATATCATAAAATACATCTAAATGCACATTTCATAAAAGCATTTAAACCATCAACTAACCTTTTGCCCACATATACATATCCCCTCAAATTACTTCATTTCCAACTTTGTAACATCCAAAATTCATGGTATTTACACCACTTAAATTTAAGATTTGTGTAGATATATGGAGGGATATGGAACAGCCAGACGCATTTCACAATCAAAACCGCTTTATCAGGAGCAACAATGGGCAAGATTAAAAACAAAAAGGTAGTATGTCAATAAATTGATTATCACAGAATTGCTTTTATACCATCTAAAATTATTATTATTCAGGATATATATAGCACAAACAGTTTGCACAGCGCTTTACAATATAAGGAAGACGCTACAACACAATTCAAGACAAAATGGTAAGAAGGGCCCATACCATGAATTTTGAATGTTACAAATTTTGCAATGAAGTAAGTGGAGGTGATATATATGTGAGAAAAGGGTTCATTGATGGTTTAAATGCTTTTATGAATATGCATTTATATGATTATTCAATAAAAATGTATTCTTTTATATATACAATTGGTCGTGTTGGTGCCTAAAATGTCCGTCCTTGATATTTATGGTTTTAACAGTATGTATGGCGCCATTCAAAATGAAAGCTTCACCACTAAGGCTGGTCATTGGAAGATGAGTTAAGAGAATAATGGATGGTGAGACTTCTGTTTGTTTTCTTACCTATTGCTACCCAACTGGGATGCTCTATGGTCATGTCTCTGGCTCAGCCAATGGTTGTACTTTCTCTCCTTTGCAAAATTGCCACTTGCTCACCAGGAGGTTTTGCAACAAGATGTAAAATCTATTTTGATGGCATCAGTTTGATATTAGTTTGAGTTGCTTCTGACATTGTTCAGAATTTACAGGCGCATTTGACCTTCAGTTGACCTCCTTCTGCCATGCTTTAAACAGGTTTTGCATTCCCATATACTTGCCTGACAGGAGAAAAAAACAAAACGCTTTTATCTGTTGGAATCCCTAATAGTGGGGGCTTCCACCAGATAGGAGCACTCATTATCGTTCCTAGAAAAGATGATCGCCAGATAAGATACTTCCATTGTGTGAATTGCCTGTAGGGACTGAGATATGTATGCCCTTCATTGTATTATTTTTTTTACATTGTACATATAAGATCATTTTGAATGTGTTAGCCCTATTGTAGATTCCATTTTGTGTTATAAATGCATTTCTAATGCTACTCTTATTAGATGTTTTGATACATTATAAATTTGTAAAGGATCTGCTGTTAATGAAAGTATGTGGATGTTTTATACTCTTTTGTGCCTTTATTTCCTATCTGGTACTTAAAGCCCAGGCTTGTAGCCAATACTCCAATATGCTTGTAGGTTTGCTGCAAAATTACATCACAGGCTATGTGCTTATATCTCCTGGGATCTCATTGACAACAGTTGTCAGCTCTGCCCAAACTCTACAACCAGTGGCGTAACTACCGCCATGGCGTCCCACGCGGTCGCTATGGGGCCCGGATCAGAGGTGGGCCCGGTCCAGGGCCAGATTAACAGGGTCGCGTAGGAAGTGCGCTTTCACTATGGATTCCTCACAGGCAGAGTGCATTTGGTATCACTCTGCCTGTGACAGGAGGCGGGGCTATAGAGGAAACATCGGCTTATGCGGCTCTGCTCCCTCCGCTGCCACCTCGCTTCCTCTAGCGCTGGCTTCGTTGGCACTGCTGATTATCTTCTGCGGCTCCTCAAGTTCCCCCTTATGCCACCACCGGCCCTGGGAAAGGTCGCAACTAGGTCTTATTTTCGGGGTAGGTCTTATATTTTAGCAATTCCCAAAAATGGTACTAGGTCTTAATTTCGGGCCAGGTCTTATTTTCAGGGAAACAGGGTATACCCGCTGACTATACCGCTCACTGTACCCCCTGACTATACCTAGCACTGTGCGCTCTGACTATACCCCTCACTATACCCACTGACTATACCCCTCACTGTACCCCCTGACTATACCCAGCACTGTGCCCTCTGTCTATACCCCTCACTATACCCGCTGACTATACCCCTCAAAGAGACCCCTGACTATACCTAGCACTGTGCGCTCTGACTATACCCCTCACTATACCCACTGACTATACCCCTCACTGTACCCCCTGACTATACCCAGCACTGTGCGCTCTGACTATACCCCTCACTATACCCGCTGACTATACCCCTCACTGTACCCCCTGACTATACCCAGCACTGTGCCCTCTGACCATACCCCCCACTGTACCCACTGACTATACCCAGCACTGTACCCCCTGACTATACCCAGCACTGTACCCCCTGACTATACCCAGCACTGTACCTCCTGACTATACCCAGCACTGTGCCCTCTGACTATGCCCAGCACTCTACCCTCTGACTATACCCAGCACTGTGCCCTCTGACCAGTGGCGTAACTACAAAGACAGCGCAGGCACGGGAACATGTTCTGGAGGTAGGTTTGCGGAGGAGGGTGTTGGGGCGGTTTGGGGGGCCCCATATAAAATTTGGGTATGGGGCCCTGTGAGTTCTAGTTACGCCCCTGTCTACAACCACTCAAAAGCCAAATCATTATGTTATTACCCAAAGGGTATCCCATAATATATACTAGTAGTACCACTTCATGAAAGTAACATATTTTGTTACGGTTAGGGGGATTAGTGCAGAGACATGAATACACATATGCATTATGACTTCCGTTTACTGACGACACATATTAGGCAACATACAGAAAGATACCTGTATATTTTAAGGAGATATGTTTAAAAGATTTGCACTTGCCACATTCCCCTTCTCATCATAAATAAACCATATGTTTCAGATCCAACAGGCAAACTCAACAGTAGCTGACTGCCATGGCTCTGCTGCACTTCCCACTGACTCATGCATGGGCCTGTATCTGCCATAGTGTATGGAGACAGCCTATTATTCTATATAAGCAAACGTGTGCATGTTTATTACTGGGTAACATTAGATTCAGATTGAGTTTTGAAGTATTTTTGGTAGTGAGTAAATACTGGAGAAGAACCACACCATTTCCCTGAATATATTAGTAGATCACACATCTAATGGGTGATCACACATCTAACTCTTTGCTGCCCCCTAACACATAATGCATTGAAAGTGGTGGAGGGTCCCTTTGACACCATTAAGTGAAGTAGAAATGGAGACGTGAAAATGCAAAAACTCAACATGGGAGGCTTATGAAGCTTCATGCTGAATTCTCTCCTGATTAGCATAATCCTCCCATACTACACCTAAAGTTGTAGTCTGACCAGGGCCGGATTTCCCACAAGGCCAACCGAGGCCCGGCCTCAGGGAGGCAGAGGGGTGTGGAATTTCCATATCGCCCTACGCCCGGGACATGATGTTTTGGGCGCCGGTTGGGTTGTTGTTTTCTACATTTTGCCCTGCTTTCGGCAAGCAGAGCTAAATGTAGGGTGGGGAAGTCACTCGTTCGTTTACAAGTGATCTTGGCAATGTCGCCGAGATCACTTCTATGCAGCCTGTGGGCTACCTTTCTCCCCACCGGCTGGA